CAGGTGCTGAGCGGCCTGCGGCGGCAGCGGCGGCGTCGGGAGCGCGCCGAGGCGGCGCCCACCGGCGCGGACCGGGGCTGGTCCCGCTTCCGGCCCCCCGGCATCGGCCCAGGGCCCCGGACCGGGCCTCCCCCTCCCCCGGGCCGGGCCTCTCCCCCCGCCCCGGTGACCGGTCTCGTCTCCCCACCTGCATGACGCCCCGCTGCCCGCTCCGCTTCCGCCCGGCCGAGCCGCCGTGCCCGAGCCCCGCCTCCGCCAGCGCTCACCACCAATCCCTGCGCGCTCCTGCCGCCTTCCGGCCAATCGGAGCGCGTCTCGATCCCCCGCCGCCGCCAATCAGCGAGAAGCGAGGCGATTTGAGCGCGGGGGAGGGGGGGCGAGGGCGGAAGAAACAAAGCCACGTGCCAGCGCTCCGATTGGCTGCGAGGAGTCCGGGAAAGAGAGGGATCATCCAATCAGAATGAAAGCCGGCGAGAGGCGCATGCGCAGCGCGGGATCCCGGGAGCTCGGCGGCGCGCCCGGCACGTGGCACGGGCGTCACGCGCCGCACCGGGCCCCGCCCCCCCGAGCACGCCCCGCCCCCTCCCGGTGGCGCCTGCCCCGGCAGGGCGGGAACAACCGGAGCTGGGGCCGGTGCCCGCGGGACCCCCCCCGCCCCCGCCCCGCCCCGCCCCGCCCCGGTCCGGCCCGGCCCGGCCCGGCCCGGCCCGGCCCGGCGGAGCCCGCGGGGCCCGGCCCGGTGATGGGACCCGGCGCTGGGACAAAGGGCGAAGCGGGAGGAGCGGAACCGGCGCGGAAGCAGCCGGTGCCCTCCGTGCTGCCCCCCGCCCCACGGCAGGTGCCGCCGTTGGGGGGGGCACCCAGCCCGGTGCGGGCCGGGGCTGCCCCGGGCCGCCGGCTCTCGGCTCTGCCCCCCCGCCCCGCTCCCGGTCATGAATATTCAGCGCTGCCCTGGCCCGGCCCCCCCGGCCGCGCAGGCGGCGGCCCCGGCCGCCCTTCACCTTGACTCGCAGCGCGGGGCAGCCACAGGTACCGGGCGGCCGCGACGCCCCCGCGGGGGCCCCGGGGCTGCCCGGGCCCGGCCGGGCGGGCGGGGGTCCTGCGGGCGCCCTTAGCCGCTTCCCCCCTCACTGAGCCGCAGCCGAAGGGGCTGGGCTGGGGCTGAAGCCACACGGCGCCCCGGTGTCCCGGTGCCGAGGGCTCCCGGCGGGAGCGGGGCTGCCGCGGCCCCGGGGAGCAGCGGGGAACACGGAGAGGGGCTCCGCTGGTTGGGCTTGGCGGGAGCGCCGGGAATCCCCTCCYGGCTCCGGGGAAATGTTTAACTCGAGCGCCCGGGAGCCGCTCCCCGTCCCTGCCCCGGGGCCAYGCCGGGCACCGAGCCCTTTCCCGCTGCCAGGGCGCTCCCGGCAACACGGGCACCCCTTCCCTTTCCCTCGCCTCCYCTCCCTGCGGCGGCAGCAGCTTCCCGGGCCCCCCGGGATCAGAGCGTCGCCTTCCCTGCGCCCCGGTGCCCGCGAGGCACCCTGCTCACCCCGCGCCCTCCCGGCAGGCTGCGGCGCGGGCCATGGCGGAGAACCAGGGCTGGTGGAGGCTCACCTTCCTGCGGAAGCGCAAGTCCATGCCCAAGGTGCTGTACGAGAGCCCGGACACGCACGGCAGCGAGGGCCACGAGGGCGCCGAGGGCGCCGAGCCGCCCGGCTTCGCCGCCCGCCTCGAGAAGATCGTGGATAAGAGCAGCAAGGGCAAACACGTCAAGGTGTCCAACTCGGGCCGCTTCAAGGAGAAGAAGAAAGTGCGGGTGACGCTGGCCGAGAACCCCAACCTCTGCGGCGCCGGCGAGCGGGAGGAGAAATGAGGCGGCGGGGCTGCGGAAGGGGCCGGAGCCGCAGGACGGGGCCGCGGCGCCGCTCCCGCCCCAGCTCCGCTCAGTCCCGGCTGCGGGCGACGGACCGCGCGGCTCGCAGGCRCCACCCCAACGGCAAGAAGGACTCGGATTGGGGTTATCTAAGGAAATAATCATCTGATTTAACCTCGGCCCCGCAGGGTGATCGCTGTGGGCTCGCAGCACAAGGGCGCACGGACGCGGGCTCTCRTGGAGCAGGGAATCCCCGGGCTGGGAATGAGGAGCCGGGGGCAGAACCGGGTGGCACCCGCGGGGTCCACGTGCCCCCCGACAGCACGGCCCCGGTTCCTGTCCTGCGGAGGGGGGACCCTGCGGAAACCCCTCTGCCCCCGGGCACGGCGAGCGCTGGAGCGGCCGCCGCGGAGCCGCCCGGCCCGCGGCTCCTTGCACTGATCTTTGCACCTGTGAATTCAGCCCCTTCCCYGGAGACGCCCCAGGGCCGGCGCTGCCCCAAGCGCCGTCTCCCCCTCCTTGAGGAAATAACGGCGGCCGGCGGCTGCCGGCGGGCACCGCGCCGCTCCGGCCGCCTCAGCGGGCTCCGCTCTTCCGGGAGGCGCCCGCAATTCCCACCTGTCAGCGGCTCCCAGCGGGAATGGGCTGCTCCCTCTGTGCGGCAGCGGGGACGGACGCGGCCCGGAGCGCGCCCGCAGCAGCGCCYGCTGCAGGGGGTGTCCTGGGAGCCTGGGCTCTCGCTCCTGCTCTTCGTTAATAAAGCAGCTCTGGGAACCGAGGGAGCTCCTGTCTGCTCGGCCACGCGCCCCGGGCACGGCACAGACACGGGGGACACGGAGCAATCCCAGCCCCGTTCCCGTCCCCGTGCCGAGCCCCCGGGCTGGCGGGGACGCAGCAAGCGGCGCCGGCTCCAGCGCCAAGGCCTGGGCCGCTCGGGGCCRTCACCGCAGCACCGGTGACAACTGGTTTCTCTCCCGTTGCGGGATGTGCAGAACGGGAGCCGCTCCGGCCAAGGGCTTGGGGCCGGAGCACAAGGGGACCCGGAGCCCCGGTGGCASCACACGCACATCCCTGCGCCCGCCTGGGCCCTCCGGCTCCTCCCGGAGCGGCCGCAGGGACAGGCGGGGACGGGAGGCGGCTGCCAGCGGCACCGCGGCCCGGGCCAGCCCCGCGGCTCCCCGGGGACAGCGCCAACGGGGTGAGGCTGGAGCCGGAGCCAAGAGAAAAGGCAGCGCCTTGGCCGCTCTGCTCSAGGCCGGGTCGTGCCCAGGGCTGCGGCGCGGGCGCCGGCTCAGCCCCTCGGCTTCCCGGCAGCCCGCGCCTGTTTGCTCTCCAAACACGGCGGCCTCACAGGGCGCTCTTTGTCCCGCGCCGGCAATGTGGACTGTTCCTGCCCGAGAGGGAAGCAGGAACGGGGAGAGGAGGAGGAGGAAGCCGAGCGCCCGGGGCCCGCGGGAAGCGCAGCAGGTGCCAGGCTGCTCCTGGACGCCCCTCACGGTGCCAGCGGGGCTCTGGCCGCGCTCCCAAAGCCAAGGGGCTTCAGGGATAACGTCAACCTGACGCCTCCCGGTGTCCCCACGTCCCCAGTCCGGTCTCACGGAGCGAGCGCTGGGGCAGCGTGACRGGCAAGGCCACCGCTCCGGAGCCAGGGAGCCGCCTCGGGAAGGCGCCGCGGGGACGGGGCACAGGCCGGGCTCCCGGGCAGGGGCTCAGACGCTACCGGCTGCTCTGTGCGGATCCAGCCCAGGGAAGCTCCCGCTTCGTGCCCACCGGTCCCCGTGGAGGAGAGCCCCGGGCCCCGGGAAACCCGGGCTGATTCCGCGGGAGTCGCGTGGCCCCRGGGACCCTCTGTGCCCGGGCTGGGAACGGCCGGACCCGCCTGCAGGCAGTGAAAGCTGCAGYGTAATCCTGCAATCCCAGGAGCAAACGAGCGAGAGGGTAAACATGTGCACGGAGCGGCGGGAGGACAAAGGTTATCAGGGCCGGTTTCACTGGGACGCGGCCCAAGAGAGCCGGGAAACGCAGCCAGCGGCTCCGGGGCCGCCAGCTCCCTCTGCCGGGGTCTGACCGGCTGGATTCCCATCCGGCAGCGGCGCGGGCAGCCGGCTCCCTCTGCCGGAACGCGGAGCCCTGGGACTTTATTCCCAGCAAGGCTGCACACGTGGCCCGGGAGGACTGGGAGCCGCGCGCGGGCACGGGGCTGCCGCGGGCCCCAGGGCCCCAGCAGGGACAGGYGCCCCGCGGTGACACGCGCGGCCGCCGCGAGCGCCCGCAGGGACATCGGAGTCACAACCACACACGTTACGGTGCAGAACGAGCAAATTGCATGATTCGAGCTAAAAACAGTCCTAGCAGCAGGGCACGACAAGGTTTTCYGGGGTCTCTCACGATACTGCCACGATGATCAACATGATGAATTAGCTGCCAGGCGCACGGGGAACGCTTGCCCCTCGTGCTGCCCGGTGGGCACCCACCTCAGGGAGACGCGGAGGGAGACGCCGGCAGCGGGGCCGGACCCGGCGGTTTGGGCGGGCATGCGGCGGCACGTGCCGGCAGCGCTGGCACGGCCGAGGCTCCCGGCGCCGCGCGGCCTCACGGCGAGAGCCGCTCGAACACCCAGGGCCCCTCTCCGCGGTGCGTCATGTGTCCCAGGGGCGCCGAGGCGTCCCGCACGCGCCGGAAGACGATGCGGTCGTGCAGGCGGTTGGTCTGGCCCTGCCAGAACTCCACGACGTCCGGCTGCAGGACGTAGCCGCCCCTGCGAGGGAGGCACGGGCGGCTGCAGAGCCCCCGAGGGCCGGTCCGCCGGCGCCGGGAGCGGCAGTGCCGGCCTCTCCCGGCCACCGGGACACTCTGCGTCTGCAGAGACTCAGCCCCTATAGACAGCCGTGACGCCGATGGGGGAGCTCTGGGTTAGCCGTTGGGAAACACTTCCCCATGGAAAGGGGTCAAGCACTGGAAGAGGCTGCGCAGGCAGTGCTGGAGCCGCTGCCCCCGGTAGTGCTCAGGAGCCGTGTGGACGAGCTCAGGGACCCGGTTTAACAGCCTTGGTGCTGGAGGGTGACGGTTGAACTCGATCTTGAGGGTCTTTTCCCAGCAGAAATGACTCCGAGGCCGGGCCGCGACTCACCAGTACGCCGGCTTCGGCACCACTGTCTCCTTGTACTGCTCCTCCAGCTCCGCGTGCCTCTTCATTAAATACTGCGGGGGAAAAGGGGCACGTGGGGAAGCGCTGGGGCAGCAGCAGGGCAGGGAGGGCACCGGGGCCCCCCTCCCGCCGCCCCTCACCTCCCGGTCCGGAATGACGGTGCTTTGCCGGCTGACGACGGCGCCGATYTGGCTGCTCTTGGGGCGCGAGTGGAAGTACTGCTCGGATTCCTGCTCCGAGAGGCGCCGCACGGAGCCCTCGACGCGCACCTGCGCGGGCACGGGCGCACGGCTCCCACCGGCTGCGCCGCCCGCCGCCCTGGCCCTCGCTCCACGAACGGGGACGTTCCCCAGGCTGTCCCTGCCCCTGCCATGTCCCTGCCCCTGTCCCRTCCCTGTTCCCTGTTAGAGCCCTGGGAAAACGCAGCCAGGAGCCCTCGAGCGCCCAAAGCCCCCGCGTGAAGGCAGGGAACCCAAAACCGCGCGGGGGGCCCCGTCACGTCCCCGCCGAGCTCCCCCCGCCCGGGCCACCGGGGCGSCTACAAACCTGCCGGCTGAGGGGCTCCCAGTAGAAGACGGCCGAGGCGAAGGGGTTGGAGTCCTGGCGCGGGGCGAAACGGGGGCCGTGAGCGGGGCCGGGGCCGCGCGGGGCGCCGGGGCCCCCCCACTCACCAGCTCCTTCCCCTTGCGGCTCTCGTAGTTGGTGAAGAAGCGGAAGCCGTCGTGCGCGACGCCCTTGAGCAGCACCATGCGGGCCGAGGGCCGCCCGTCCCTGCGGCGCCGGGGGGGCCATGAGGGCGCCGCGGCCCTGCGGGTCCCCCCGAGCCCGAGCGGGCGCCGCGGCGGGGGGGGCACCGCGCGGGGGGGCACACTG